TGGGACTTGGGAATTTGGGAATTTGGGAATTTGTGAATTTGGGAATTTGTGAATTTGTGAATTTGGGAATTTGGGAATTTGGGAATTTGGGAATTTGGGAATTTGGAAATTTGGGACTTTGGGAATTTGGTAAATTGGGAATTTGGTAATTAGGGAATTTGGAATTTAGGAATTTGGAAGTTTGACAATTTAGTAATTTAAAAATGAAAGAATTTAGAAATTTGGAAGTTTGACAATTTAGTAGTTTAAGAATGGAAGAATTTAGAAATTCATCAGTTTAGCAATTTAGAAACGTAGAAATTTGGAAGTTTGACAATTTAGTAATTTAAAAATGAAAGAATTTTATTAGAGTTTACTTATTAGAGTTCCATTGCTCCTATATTTTTTTCGGTTTACAAACTAATTAAAACACGAAACAAAGATTTTGTTGGCTCGCTTGAAAATCGTAAAGGTCGTTGTAATTGTAAACAGAAACACGTCGCTCGACCATGAGCTTCCAGACTTCTTGTAGGAGCTAATTGTTGGCGTGTCGCATGATTAACGACGTCATTAGCACGCACTCGCTTTGAACTCGTTACTGACGCTTGTTTTTCGCGACAGACAAAAATTTCAATTATGTATGCACTGTGACTTCGAATACACCGGGACATGATTATGGCAAAATTTATTCGCAATTAGTGGAATATATTTGTTTGAAATGCAAAATTTTTGGTTAGAGGAATTTTTGGTGTGTTCAAGGTATTGTAATTTTTAATTTGTTAATTTGCAAGGTTTTGAAATTTTTTTAAATTCTTGAGATGCTGTCAAACTTCCAAATTTATACATTTCTGAAGAGTTAAACTGATGAATTTCTAAATTATTTCATTTTTAAATTACTAAATAGCCAAACTTCCAAATTTATAAATTTATAAATAGCTAAACTGGTAAATTTCTAAATTCTTTCATTTTGAAATTACAAAATTGCCAAACTTCCAAATTTCTGAATTCTTTTATTTTTATATTACAAAATTGCCAAATTTATAAATTTCTAAATTGCTAAACTGATGAATTTCTAAATTATTTTATTTTTAAATTACTAAATAGCCAAACTTCCATATTTCTAAATTTCTAAATAGCTAAATTGGTAAATTTCTAAATTCTTTCATTTTTAAATTACAAAATCGCCAAACTTTCTAATTTCTAAATTCTTTTGTTTTTAAATTACAAAATTGCCAAATTTCTAAATTTCTAATTGCTAAATTGATAAATTTCTAAATTTTTTCATTTTTAAATTACTAAATAGCAAAACTTCAAAATTTCTAAATTTCTAAATAGCTAAACTGGTAAATTTCTAAATTCTTTCATTTTTAAATTACAAAATCGCTAAACTTCCTAATTTCTAAATTCTTTTGTTTTTAAATTACAAAATTGCCAAATTTCTAAATTTCTAATTGCTAAACTGATAAATTTATAAATTATTTCATTTTTAAATTACTAAATTGCCAAACTTCCAAATTTCTAAATTTCTAAACAGCTAGACTGGTAAATTTCGAAATTATTTCATTTTTAAATTATAAAATTGTTAAACTTCCAAATTCTTTCATTTTTAAATTATAAAATTCTCAAATTTATAAATTTCTAAATTGCAAACCTGATAAATTTTCAAATTCTTTAATTTATAAATGACTAAAAAGATTATAGAAACCAAAGACCTAACAATCGAAAAGACCGTGAACAAAGATGGAACAAAGGGTATAAGAAAATAAATCCTTCGTCCTTGAAGGAGAACAACCTTATCGCCTTTCGATGGAGTAGCAACTCCGAATCCTTAACACGGGATAGTAAAATGGAGGCAAGATAGCTACAAATCGAGTGATAGTCACGAAGGAGGAGGATCGATAGGAAGGATCCAGCGTTGGATCTCCATAAATCCCGGCGAACGGGGCGAGCTCGTAACGCGCGATCAAACCGGCAAACACGGGACGAAAAGGGTCGTAAAGATGCCGTTTACAATCGCATTCGTGTCGTCCTTCGATGCAGCAGCTTAAGCCGCGAGTGTTCGTGTATTAATTCGACGGACGTTACACACCCTGCACCTAACGATCCTCCGCTTAATTGCGCCCTGTGCCAACGACAAATTCATATTTATCCACCAGACTCACCCTCGTTATCCGACGGTGTTATCGGTATTATCTGACCCGTTTAATTAATCGACGATCGATCACCTTTCAGGAGAAAAATTAGCACTCGATTACGGTATCAGAGGAAGACGGATCCTCGAATTCAACGATCTTAAGTTTTAGTCGTTTTTATGTCCAAGGTTTTTTACTTTTGATAATTTTCAGATTCAACAGTTTTTACTTTCGATGATTTTCAGATTTAATATTTTTTACTTTTAGTAATTTTCAAATTCGAGATTTTTCACTTTCGATAATTTTCAGATTCAACATTTTTTACTTTCAATAATTTTTAGATTCAACCTTTTTTACTTTCAATAATTTTCTAATTCGAGATTTTTCACTTTCGATAATTTTCAGATTCAACATTTTTTACTTTCAATAATTTTTAGATTCAACCTATTTTACTTTCAATAATTTTCTAACTCAAGATTTTTCACTTTCGATAATTTTCAGATTCAACATTTTTTACTTTCGATAATTTTTAGATTCAACATTTTTTACTTTCACTAATTTCTAGATTCAACAGTTTTTACTTTCAATAATTTTCTAGTTCAAGATTTTTCACTTTCGATAATTTTCAAAGTCAACATTTTTTACTTTCAGTAATTTTCAAATTCAATTATTTTTACTTTTAATAATTTTAAAATTCAACAGTTTTTACTTTCAGCAATTCTCAAATTCAAAATATTTTACTCTCAATAATTTTCAAATTCAAAATTTGAAATGTTCAATGACTCACATTTAAGATTTCAAATTTTCATTGACTTCGTAGTTTGTAATTTCAAATTTTCAGTGACTTTCATATTTAAGTCTTGAAATTTTCAGTGACTTCAAGTTTCACTTTTCAAATTCGAGATTTTAAATTTTCAGTGACTTTCAAGTTTGTAATTTTAAATTTTCAATGACTTCCAAGTTTGCAATTTTAAATTTTCATTGACTTCCAAGTTTGCAACTTTAAATTTTCAATGACTTCCAAGTTTGCAATTTTAAATTTTCATTGACTTCCAAGTTTGCAATTTTAAAGTTTTCAATATCTTTCAAGCTCATAATTTCAAATTCTCAATAATTGTCAAAATTAAAGAATAAAAATTTTCAATCGCCTTCAAATTTTTAAATTTTTAATTCCGAGATTTCCATTTAAAATCACCTTGAACTACCCTCGTTAAACGTATACTTTTAAACGGGAGATAAAGTGGAAAAAATAAAGAAGTACTGAAGCATCAACAAACACGTGCAACCTTCATTTTAATATGACAGACATTTTGACAAAAGCAGAAACCATTTTGACTGGTTTATAGTTCCAGTGTTAATTTACTTTTTATTATAGGTGCCAGAGAAGAAGGGGGGTTTTCTCGATCAAAACACCACTTCCTTAAGAGATTAGTGTAATTAGCAAACGAATTGATTGGATTAATTAAACTTGAGAGAAAATTAAAGAGGAAAGTGTGAAGAAGAATTGAAGAGTAAAGAATTCAGTAACGTAAAGAAAATAGCTATTTGATAAACAATTTTTTTTACGAATATTCGTTAATAAAATTGATACAAATTTTAATGGACTCATGTTGAAATCGTTGTGTTTAAGATAAAAAATCATGGTTTTAAAATCAAGGTTATAATGAAAAGTAATAAAAAATGAAAGATTATGAAATATATAACAAGTCAAGGTTTCAAAATTGATCAAAAATCAAAAACTCTCAGAAAGTTTTTCAAATCAAACAAAAATCAGGGTTTAAAAATTGATTAAACATGGAAGTTTTAAAATCGATAAAAAATCAAGGTCATAAAATATACAGGTCAAGGTTCCAAAATCGATCAAAAATTAAAAGCCCTCAAAAAGTTTTTAAAATTGAACGAAAATCAAGGTTTTAAAATTGATCAAACATGGCGGTTTTAAAATCGATAAAAAGTCAAGGTCATAAAATGTACAAGTCAAGGTTTCAAAATTGATCGAAAACCTTCAAAAAATTTTTAAAATCGAGCAAAAATCAGGGTTTTAAAATTGACCAAACACAAAGGTTTTCAAATCGATAAAAAATCGAGGTCATCAAACGTGCAAGTCAAGGTCTCAAAATTGATCAAAAATCCAAAACCCTCAAAAAAGTTCTAAAATCGAACAGAAATCATCTTTTTAAAATAGATCAAACACGGTTTCAAAATCGATCAAAAATCGAAGTGTCAGAATCGATCAAAAATCAAAGTTTCAAACCCAATAGAAAATCAAGGTCTTAAAATCGATCAAAAATGAAGATTTTAAAATCGGTAAATGTAGTGTAAAAGTATGTAAATAAGTATAAAGATCGGTAAATAATCAAGGTGTTAAAATGCATAAAAAATCGCGGTATAAAAAGAGATCGAAACTCTCGGTGCAAGAATCGAACGAAGCGAAAAGAGCGGTCGGAGCACGTAGGAGATTTAGCTCGCTCCATTATCGAATAATTTATGGAGACGAAGCTGTCGCTCGCCGAAAGCTGGAATCGCGATACGGTGGGCGCATCGAGCGTGAACAGCGCCGTAGAGAATCGCGAAGGGATCGATTCCCTAGTACCAAGGGATCCCCGCCAAACCACCCTCTTCGCCCCGCTCGAGGTCGCGCGACGACCTGCAACGGCAAATCGACAGCGAATAGCCCCATCCAATTCCTTTTTTCGATCCCAAAAAATATTCCAAAAGTCCACATTCATCCACGAAACTTTACCAAGGGATCCCCGCCAAACCGCCCTCTTTTCCCCGCTCGAGGTCGCGCGACGACCTGCAACGGCGAATCGCGGACGCCCCTTTTTTCGATCCAAAAAAATAGTTCAAACTCCACATTCATCCACGAAACTTTAAAAAGACACTCACGGACAAAGATGTTGCTCATCAGGGTGGCAGGCAGGCAGAACACGATGACGAGGACGTCGGCTACCGCGAGGTTGACGATGAAGAAGTTCGTGACGGTCCTCATCCGCGGCGACCGGTACACAACCGCGATGACGAAACTGTTCCCGATCAGTCCGACCACGAAGACGAGGACGTAGGCGACACAGTACACCGCCGACATGGCCATGCTGTGCCTGTACAATCGGTCAGGTATCTGTTCGGCGGTGGACAGGTTGTCGGTTTTGCTGGCGTTCAGAAGGCCTCCGTGCTCGTCCATGGAGGTCCTCGGGCTGGTGGTGATCGCCTCTGCGATCAGGTTGTTCAGATAGTCACCCAGGTCGTTCCTCATCTGCAGTAGGGTGCCGGTGGCGGGCTGCACCGGGGACACGGTCGTGGTCTGAACATTTCCGTTGTTGCTTCTACGACGCGTGTCGACGTCGAACTCCTCGGAGTCCGGCAGACGCAGGGAAGCCATCTCCAGGAGCGGAGACGGTGGCTGCAGCATCGGGAACTTGATCGGGAACCGTTGGATCGACGTTGTTTCGACCATCGGCCGTCCTCGATTGCGTCCCCGTCTTCTTGGATGTACTGACGCCCCGCGTCGTCGTGTCGACGACCTTAACCCGCCCCGACCGTTTCGATCCTCCCCTGTGTCGATCCTCGCTTGGACACTGGACTAACTGCTCGCGGACGGAAATCCCTGTTGGGATAGCTGCTCCAGGAAGTAGGGAGAGACGCGTGGTCGTGTGGAGTTCGATGCTCCGACAGTCAACTAACACGTGCACTGCAGCCCATCGAGTTCGATTGCATCCCCTCGTGGGCAGGCTGTCCCGTACGTCGGGGAACACTTGGTTTTTTTTTTTTGAAGTCCACGGAAGGAGGGTGAACGAGGGTGCGACGGGAGGTGGGATCTGAGGAACGTTTTTTTTTTCGGGACACGCGATGTTTCCGAGGTTTGTCCACGAAAAGGTGTCCCGGCCGAGTGCTGAGAGACTAATGAGCTTGCTTTAGAAGACGACTGCGAACTGCCGCCGGATGCAACCGAAGCGGCGAGCTGTCTGGCGACGCGCGACCACTGCGCAAGCGTTACATCCACCGGCACATGTACCCGCATGCGATGTATGCGCGATCGTAGGAACCGTGGGGTACGAAGCAGGGATACGAAGGGTATTGTTATTTTCTGGAAAATCAACCGGATAACGGGTGTGACATGTGGAGGCTATTTTCTAAACGTTTTGCTTTGGGTTTATTTACTTGGGGAGATTAGGGTTTAATGATATTGGCGTTATGTGATTGTATGTACTGAGGATTTAGGCATATTCTGATGATATAGTTAGGTTGTTAATTAATTAGGATATTAATGATATAGGTATATAGATCTACAGAACTGTAGAAGTATACGGTCATGTAGGTATAGGGGTATATAGGAGTCAGGGTCTAGGGAGGATCCAGGGACACGTTGTGATGAGGCTTGGAATCCGAAGATCTAGGTATCTAGGAATCTGGGTATCAAGGAATGTAGGATCTAGGAAGTTAGGAACCTGTGTATGGATCTATGGATATTGAGGTTTGGCAGTTTAGGAATTTATGGACATTTGGATATGTAAATTTGGAGTGGGTTAAACAAATGATATGATGAGAGTGCAACTAAATATAATAGTCAGGTGAGATATATAAATAGTCATGTGTGGTCAGATGACAAATCAGAGAAATAATAAAATAATAGTATTGTATAGTTTTATAGTATAATAGTGACATGGTAGTATAGTTGCATATTGTAGGATTGTACAGAGTAGAATATAGAAAATACATAATAGTCAGTAGTTAAATAGTTAAATGGTCAAATAGTTAAATAGCTAAATACTTGAATAATTAAATAGTTGAATAGTTGAATGGTTGAATAGTTGAATAGTTGAATAGTTGAATAGTTGAATAGTTGAATAGTTGAATAGTTGAATAGTTGGATAGTTGGATAGTTGAATAGTTGAATAGTTGAATAGTTGAATAGTTGACTAGTTGAATAGTTGGATAGTTGAATAGTTGAATAGTTGAATAGTTGAATAGTTGACTAGTTGATTACTTGAATAGTTGAATAGTTGAATAGTTGAATAGTTGAATAGTTGAATAGTTGAATAGTTGAATAGTTGAATAGTTGAATAGTTGAATAGTTGAATAGTTGAATAGTTGAGTAGTTGAATAGTTCAATAGTTGAATAATTGAATAGTTGAATAGTTAAATAGTTGAATAGTGAAATAGCTAAATAGTGAAATAGTTAAATAGTTAAATAGTGAAATAACTAAATACTAAAGTAGCTAAATAGTGAAATAGCTAAATAGTTAAGTAGTAAATATTAGAAAATAGTAGTAAATAGTAGTGAATAGTGAAATAATTAGATAGTAAATAGTAGATAGTATTAAATTGTTAAATTGTTGAATACTAAATACTAGATAGTAGTAATAGTAAATACTAGTAAATAATGGTATCCTAATATACTAAAATAAACTACCAAAAATATAAAAATAATAAACCAGAAAATTGCTAAAACAGTCACCTAAATAATAACTAAACAAATTAAAATAATAAAGTACTCAAACAGTCAAATAACAAACTTGAAAATAAAAAATTAATTTTCCGCAATTACAAAAAATCAAAAATACCCTAAATATAAAATCTTGATCTCTGATATTTTCACGTTGTTTCACAGATGTACCACCTACGTTTTCAATATCCTTACGTTGACTGTTACAAACAGTTCGAGGTAACCATGTGCCAACACTCGTGGCGATCTTCCGTATGGTGAAAATAATGAAAGGTATCGATAAAAAGGTCAACGGGGAAAAAAGTAGATTAGATACAGCCGAAGTTTTCGCGATTGCCAAACGTTTTCCTCGTGAACGCCCACGATCAGCTCCGTAATTCGGTTTCGGCGAAGCAACTTCATCCGAGTTTTCGACGCGTTGGGATTCCCTAAGGAGATTTTCATCGAATTAAGGGTCCGTGATAATAATGGACGCTTCGATCCTTGAATTCTTTTTCCGCTATTGATGATTGTACATTAGTCTCTTCCGAAAGAAGTATTGCCACCCAATTGGCGCGAGGATAATAGAATTAGACACTTTTATTTCTTTCAACTTCCTAATTATTTAATTATGAAGGTATCGAGTTTCGAAGTTTTTTTATTTCCAAATTTTTTAATGAAGTTTGCTCATTTTTATTTTTGAGGATTTCTAGATTTACAGATTTATAGATTTATGGATTTCTAGAGTCATCAATTTTTCAATTTTTCACTTTTTCAATTTTTCAATTTTTCAATTTTTCAATTTTTCAATTTTTCAATTTTTCAATTTTTCAATTTTTCAATTTTTCAATTTTTCAATTTTTCAATTTTTCAATTTTTCAATTTTTCAATTTTTCAATTTTTCAATTTTTCAATTTTTCAATTTTTCAATTTTTCAATTTTTCAATTTTTCAATTTTTCAATTTTTCAATTTTTCAATTTTTCAATTTTTCAATTTTTCAATTCTTCAATTCTTCAACTCATCGATTCTTCAATTCCTCAGTTCTTCAATTTTTCAATTTTTCAATTCTTCAATTCTTCAATTCTTCAATTCTTCAATTCTTCAATTCTTTAATTCTTCAATTCTCCAATTCTTCGACTCGTCAACTCTCTGATTCATCGATTCTTCGATTCATCGATTCTTCAATTCTTCAATTATTCAATTCCAAAATTTGTCAAATTCCCAAAATAAAAATTTGAACTTTCATGCTCCCCTCAACCCATTCCTTCCTAATCACCGACATGTCTCTAATTTCCTTTACATTCGTCTCTAACATCCTATCACATAATGAGCCATCGTTCGTATTGCTCTCTCCGAAATACGAGCAGACACTTTCCACAAATTCGAGACACTGCTCGACTTCCGTTTCGGTCGCCAGCTCGTTCGATCGTGCAATTTTAAGAGGCGCTTACAATAAGCTTTTATATTCAACGCCAGCTCCCGCTGTCCCTTCAACACGTAAAAAGCGACGAATGATTCCGCTTCCCGATTCTTGGACGTCCCTGGCTCTCTCCGAACTTCCGGCGAGTTGGTAATTCGTTTTCTACGACTCGTCGCGGATAGCTAACTCATTTTATTCGAGCGTCGAGTCGCAAGCTCCGAAAGATTTCGTTATAGTTCGACTGCCGCGGCGTCCGTGAAATATCTTGGCTTCCGTATTCGCTCATTTTTCAGGGAGCTTCCCTGTACTCGTCGTGGGTTGCGTTTCCTGCGCTTCAAGTGATTAATAATTATTAATAATTCTCGGCGGAATGGAGACGGAATAATGCTTCGCTTTAACGATCTTCGCGAGTGGCAATCAATTTGCACTTTGGTGAAATATTTCTTGATGTAATGTGCACTATTTGCTAATTGACTGTGGAAATTTATTATATTCTTTTCACGAAATACGATTTCCATTTTCTGTGATATACATATAACTTTTTAGTTTCTTGATTTTTATTGCAGCTTATCAATTTTCAATTTCGATGCTTGTACCTCTTCAGTACGTATGTCTTATACTGTCACTTCCGGAATAGTAGTGGGGTAGTATGATAGTATAGTAGTAAAATAATGTAGTACATGGTGGAATGTATAGTCATGTTGCAGTGGTACAACAATATAGTACTAGTAAGGTGGTATCATAACATATTGGTACAATAGTTAAGCATCATAGTGGTACCATAATACAGTAGTGAAGTACGATAGTAGGATTCTAGCGTACTGGTATAGTAGCATATTAGTATAGTACCTTAGTAGCATAGTAGTATACCAGTATAGTAGTGCAGCAGCACAGTACTATGGTAGTACAGCAGTATAGTAGTATAGTAGTATAGTAGTACAGTAGTATAGTAGTATAGTAGTACAGTTGTGTAGTGCTGTCGTGGTATAGTGGTATAGTGATATAGTAGCATAGTAGCATGGTGGTATAGTAGTATGATAACATGGTGATACAGTGGTATAGCAGCATAGTAAAGTAGTAATATGGTCTAATCTTACCATAGCAAAGATGAGATGTATAGTAACTATGGTGTATAATAAGCTTAGTGAAGGAGAATATAATAGTTGTTACAGTGAGATACCTGTATAGTAGAATAGTGAAATATTAAAATAATGCAAAACTACAATAGTGAAATAGTGAAACTGTTAAGCAGTGAAACAGTTAAAATAGTGAAATAATGAAATAGTGGAATAGTGAAATAGTGAAATAGCGAAATAATGCAATAGTGAAACTGTGAGATAGTGAAATAGTAAAGTAGTAGAATTGTGGAATAGTGGAATAGTGAAATTGTAAAGTAATGGAATAATGAAATAGTGAAACAGTGCAATAGTGAAACTGTGAAATAGTGAAACAGTTGAATGGTGGAATAGGGGAATAGTAGAATAGTGAAATAGTAAAGTAATGGAATAATGAAATAGTGAAACTGTGCAATAGTGAAACTATGAAATAGTGAAATAGTAAAATAGTAAAATAGTAAAATAGTAAAATAGTAAAATAGTAAAATAGTAAAAT